AATAAATTCTTTATACTGATTTAAGCCCCTAAAAAGAAGAATAAATTAACTCTAATTTAATGGTTGAATAAGTAATTAATTATAACACAGGAAATAAAAAATATACCATAATATTGAAAGTAATGTGCACTTTATTTGATTAATAATAGAAATAAATGCTCGCGAATAAATCTATTTTAAATAAGAAAAAGATAAGGAACAGGACTCGATTTTTTCTTTTAAAAGGGTTTAGTGATCTTATAATAATTAATTAAAGAGTGGTATCTCCTGGATGATACATTAAATTCTCAACAGACGGTTTTAACATTTCCCTAAAGACCAGTTCGCCGAATATTTTATTTGTATGTGTGACTAGAATAAAGATCTAAATCACTTCGCTTATCTATAGATAAGACTAACGATATTCGACCTTGTGTTTTCCAAAATTTCACATTAGTTCCTGTTTAAGAATAAAGCCTGTGAGCTTCTTTTTCTTTTTTTTTTTCTCAGCGAGGCCAATTAAAATGTGTTACTCCTCAAGACATGTCGACAATTAAGAAGGAGGTGGGTTCCGTTCTTATCTCCTGCCTTTTCCGTTTATCAATCCCTTCTTGAGGTCGGTGGCGAGGCCTTGGCGTTGTCTGCCATCATCAATCCTCGCCAAGGGGGCTGCCACCGACCCACCGTCCACGCTAACTGACTGTTTAAAAGATAAATCCTTTCAACACGTTCCTTTTCTTTTAACGTCTTTATTTCGTATCTAGTGATCTTTTTTCGTTCTTCTTTCTCGCCTGTTATTTCGCGGTTGTTTTTTTCACTAGATCAACACGAATCAGTTTCAAGTTGGTGCATCTTGCTATATTTAATTCAGCTAATGGAGGAACCCCCGCCGAAAAAATTAAGATCTTGTCTAATTTATTTAACCCTTTTTAACATGTTTAACTTTCAATTAACGCTTTTTAACTACAAATTAATCATTTTTAACTTCAAATTAACCCTTTTTAAAAAAGGTAATTTGAAATTAAAAAGAGTTAATTTGAAGGTACAAAATGTTAAAAAGGGTTAATTTAACTACAAATTAATCATTTTTACCTTCAAATTAACTTTTTGTTAATTTCAATTTACCCTTTTTAACTACATATTAACCATGTTTAACATTAAATTGTCGCTTCTTAACTACAAATTAACCATTTTTAACCTTAATTAACTAACTTTAAATTGTCGCTTTTTAATTATAGATTAATCATTTTTAACTTCAAATTAACATTTTTTCATTTCAAATTAACCCTAATTAACTACAAATAAACCACGTTTAACTTTACAATGACTTTTTTAAACTACAAATTAACCATTTTTAATTTTAATTAACTAACTTTAGATTGTTGGCTAAGTCAATCCAGCACCCAACGCATGCATTTCCAAACACATTCATACTTACGTTCATTCTTAAATGCATTCACTCCTATTTACATACCATTCCTTAAAATAAGGTGGTGATAATTCTATATTCGTCCATCATTTTGTATACATATACAACTAACCTAACTGAGGGTCGATGGAGTACTCGATATTCCGCCATCGACTCTCTCACATCACACATTCACTCTCAACACAACCTTTACACATATTAAACACCTAACCTAATCGATGGTCAATATCGAGTGTCCAATAGGATACTCGATATTCTGCCATGGACTCTCTTACATCACACATTCGCGGTGATAAATACATTCACTATCAACACAACCTTTATACATATTTTACAAACAACCTAATTGAGGGTCGATTGAGTACTCGATATTCTGCCATCGACTCTCTCACATCACACATTCACGCTGATAAATACATTCACTCACAACACAACCTTTACACATATTATACACCTAACCTAATCGAGGGTCGATGGGTTACTCGATATTCTGCCATCGAATCTCTCACATCACACATTCACTCTAATAAGTAAATTCACGCTAATAAATACATTCACCCTCAACGCAAGCTAATCATACAAAACTATTATTACTATATTCAATAGAACTATTCTGTTTCCTCCAAGAATCGGAACAGGGAACCCAAATACTTGCTGCCCTGTTCAAGCACAATTCTCAAATCGGGCAGCATTCCTGCGCGCTCTCTGTATGGAACCAATACATACACCGTCTATTGTGGAAAAAGGTATTTGTGAGTAAACAGGTTATTTTTACATAAACTGCCCGCGATGCGAAGCTACGTTGAAGGAGAAGCAGATTTCAAAGCGCCGCGATACTATCAAGTGTTTAGACTGCATGTGAAGAAAAAATGTAAGGAGTATATAGTAACAACACCCATAGGAAACTCTGTTAAATATTAAACTATCACAAAAAAAGTGTCGAATAGATGAAGTTAAAGGTTCATATTTGGTGGAACAACACCGTAGGATCAAGGTAGGCAAAAGACTCAACCAAGAAACAAAATTGGCATACGGATGCGCACTATCAATGAGTACCTAAAGCAAACGACAAAATGAAAATGAGAAAACAGCTGAAATCACTCATTGGACATAAATAATTAAAGAACCTTCTAGCAAATATTGGAAAGAAAGAGACAATGCATCAAAGAAAGCTGGCAAAAAGTTAGAAACCTAACAGAATTCTAGACAGTGCACTGCAGACTGAATGGGCATCTGAAGAAGATTGGTATAGTAAACCCGGAACGTGTAGATTCTGCAACAGGGGACACGCCAACATACCTACTAACAAACTGTGTCACAACGTTTGCCCGCAGGAAGAAGAGTTTTGGGATGTAACCGTAAAAGAAATTCAACAACTGAATCAGGGCATACTGATCAAGCTCCTTGATGAACAAGGACTCACCGGTGTGGTTTAGATACTGAAAATAGCAATAGCTCTTAAAGGGTGCAATATACCACATGCGAATGATACATCTACATCTAAGTTCTTGGCATTATATACAGTGTATAATATACAAATGTAACTTAATTTTTAAGAGCAAGTTTATAGTTATAAAAAAGTCAGTGTCACGAGCGGAATTCGAATCCACGACCTTCGGCTTGATACGCCGCTACTCTACCATAGCTCAAGTGTTAGAGTAGAGGCGTATCAAGCCGAAGGTCGTCGGTTCGAATCCCGCTCGTGACACTGACTTTTTTTATCACAACCAATACCTTTCATAAATATTAATAACTACGAAAACTAGTGAATTTATCTTCATATTTGTCTCCATATTCGACGTATATAAAGAATTAGAGAATGTTGAGATATTGCTAGCCGTTGTCAACTACCAATTTTAACGTTAAATTAACCCTTTTAACTACAAATATACTGTTTTTAACTGGACATTAATCATTTTAAACTAAGTAATTTTNTTTTTAGTAAGGGTTAATTTGAATTTAAGTAATAATTTGTAGTTAAAAAGGATTGTTTTGTAATTAAAAAGGGTTAATTTGAAGTTAATTTACCCCTTTTAACTACAAATAAAACAATTTTTACCTTCAAATTAACCATTTTATCATTTCAAATTACCCTTTTTAATAAGGGTTAATTTGAATTTAAAAATGTAAACATCAGTTATTTTATATTAATTTTTTACAAATATACAAGAATTTTATTTTACATGCTCATATTTCTACCATATCCTAAGTTTTTTTAATACTTCAAAAGAAAGGGTTAATTTGAAATAGTAAAAATCGGTAAATTTGAAATTAAAAGGGTTAATTAAAAAAAAGGTCAATTTGAAAATAAAAATGGTTAATTTAACGCGAAAAAGATTTAATTTGACAGGAAAAGGTTTAATTTTGACGAAAAACAACAACTATCAATGATACAGCAGGGTCAATAGAGCTTCGAAGATCAACAACCCCTTTTCTCCAAACTACCAGAATCTTTGTGACCTAAAAGTGTTCAACTTTACATGAACACTATTTTCTCCTCATCTTTCCTTAAATTATTAACATTACGATAAAATATTGGTTAGTGGATATCACTACATCAATTCATCCAAAATGGTTACATATTTATTGTTAAATATTTAATTACACAGTCACTATTTTATTAATTTATGAGTATGCATTTATTTTTCTTTACTAAAATGAAAAATAATGAATGTAGTAACAAATAAATTGGTAATATCACATTCATATTAATTGAATTAATTAATCTTTTTATGTAAGCTCTTATTTGAGATAAAAATGTTAGTGTCAAGAGTAGGATTCGAACCCACAACCTTTGGCTCAATTCGCCGCTGCTCGAACCACTTGAGCTATCTTTGACAACTGGTTATAGCAGCAGCGTATTGAGCTGAAGGTCGTGGGTTCGAATCCCGCTCGTAACACTAACTTTTTCATCTCAACCAAGACATTACATAACAAGATTAATTAATTGAAATAAGTAATTTGGTCAATTACACCACTAAACATAAATGGATTCATACTAATTATTCAGAAATTGTGAGATGCGGTCTGGTGTGATGTAGGTTTCAGAAAAACATTTTCTTTATCGTGCCAACGTTTCGACCTTTCTTGAGATCATCTTCAGAGCTCAATAAAGATTGAAACGTTGGCACGATAAAGAAAATGTTTTTCTGAAACCTACATCACACCAGACCGCATCTCACGATTTCTGAATAATTATCGATTAACGGTCAAACGTTTCGACCTTTCTTGAGATCATCTTCTAAACGTCCTAATTTGAAATTAAAAATGGCTAATTTGAAATTATAAAGGGTGATTGGAAGTTAAAAGCGGTAAATTTAAACGTCCTAATTTGAAATTAAAAGGGGTTAGACATTTAGAAGGTTCAATTTAAAATTAAAAAGGTAATTTGAAATTAGAGTTAATTTGAAGGTAAAAGCGGTTAATTTGAAATGAAAAAAGTCTTTTTGAAGTTGAAAACGGTTAATTTTGTGCGAAAAGGTGTTTTCGCGGAAAAAAGTCTGTTAGCACCTTCTTCCAGCGGCCCATTTTGGCCTTTTGTGTTGTTTTTTGCCTGATCATATTTTTAGAAGTTTGTTTTCTTCTGTTTCAGAAGTTTTGGAGCGAAGTGCAGCAAATGTTCGAGAGGGATCTCGTCAAGGGACTGGGTTCGTAAAGCTAGGGACCACGTGTACCACTTGGCCTGTTTCGCCTGCGAGGCCTGCAAGAGACAACTGTCGACGGGTGAAGAATTCGCCCTGCACGAAGACAGGGTGCTTTGCAAAGCTCACTACATGGAGACAGTGGACGGCGCCACGACATCCTCCGACGGTAAATCTCAGCCACACGTAGTTCAGCCGGGATTATCTCCGGGGTGGGTAAAATACGAGGGTACAGGTTCAATTGGCCGAGTTAGCCGGATGGATTACCCCGGTCCCGGATTCCCGGCGTCAAACACCCGTATTTCCCTTACTAACAGCCTCTCGAGGGGTTGGAGTCGGCTCCTGATTGTTTGATTTGCAATTCAGATGCGGGGTCTCTGCCATCCCCATTCTAATCACTGCCGACCCTCCTTCGTCCGTCTCATCCCTTTTCCTCATCTCCTTTTTTATTTATCTCCGGAGAAAAGTATTCAAATTCACGTCCCGCCTTTGATAACTCCTAATTTGACCATTCAACCCTTTTTTGAAAGTAGAAAAAAATCATGAAAGACTTACAATGAGAGAGGCCTATGAAATTTAAGCCGAGGAGGGTTTTCCAACATTGTTTTATTTTTCAACATTTAAAGCCTCCTTCAAGTTCTACACGTTTTTTCATAACCAAAAGATTTTCGATGCTAGGCATTTTCTTCCTTGGGGAAGTCAACACAATGACAATGTAATAAATATGATGGCATCCCACGCCAACATAAAACGTCATGTATTTTAAAAAATCACAATGGATGTGACGGAGTACATTTTACGATTACAACCTTTATTGACCAAATGGTCCATCGAACTGTCTTGAGATTTGAGTAGCGCGTGCCACATTTCCAAATCCACGACCGGTCACCTGCAAGCTGTGAAACGAATTTTTTTTAAAATTAACATATTTTACTATAAAATAATTGGTCTCTTAACAACCACAATGTCACACATATCTTTTATATTTAATTTTTCATTTTAATTAAATCGATTATTTTATCCTAATTTTTTTTTACAAATATACAATAATTTTACTTTACATGCTTATATTTCTTCCATATCCTAAGTATTTTTAATACTTTAAATAAAAGGTTAATTTGAAATTAAAAAAGGTTTATTTAAAATAGAAAGGGGTTAATATGATGTAAAAATCGGTAAATTTGAAATTAAAAGGGTTAAATAAAAAAAAGGTTAATTTGAAAATAAAAATGGTTAATTTAAAGCGAAAAAGATTTAATTTGACACGAAAAAGGTTCATTTTAATTAAATCAGTTATTTTATATTAATTTTTTTTACAAATTTTGAAGTTAGTTTAATTACAAATTAATCATTTTTAATTTAAAAATAACTAAATTAACCTTTTTAACTACAAATTAATCATTTTTACCTTCAAATTAATCATTTTTTCGTTTTAAATTACCCTTAATTTAATTTGAAGTTAAAAATGATTAATTTGTAGTTAAAAAGCATAATTTAAAATTTAAACATGGTTTATTTGTAGTTAATTGTGGTTAATTTGAAAGTAAAATGATTAATTTGTAGTTAAAAAGGGTTAATTCAAAGTTAGTTTGCCCCTATTAACCACAAATTAATCAATTTTTACCTTCAAATTAACCATTTTAACTTTTCANGCACGATAAAGAAAATGTTTTTCTGAAACCTACATCACACCAGACCGCATCTCACGATTTCTGAATAATTATCGATTAACGGTCACTAATCACTATACATTCATATTGATATTAATTACTGGTTCCGCTTTTATTAAACAATATTTCTTGTTGTACTAAAGAGGGAGGCGATTCTGAGTCATACCACAACAAGAGCAAAGCGAAGAGAGTGAGGACGACATTTACCGAAGAACAACTCCAAGTCCTGCAAGCCAACTTCCAGCTCGATTCGAACCCGGACGGCCAAGATCTTGAAAGGATAGCCCAAATCACCGGTCTTTCGAAAAGAGTGACACAAGTTTGGTTCCAAAATTCAAGAGCCAGACAGAAAAAACACATGCACACAGGGAAAATGAAAGGCTCCCAATGTAAGTTATATATTTTTTTTTTCAACCTGATTGAAATGATTTTTCTTATCAATTGGCATTCCCAGGCCATCAAAACAACGGACAGAATCAGTTGGCAAGAGAGCTGGGGGAGTCTTTCGGAAGGCACAGCATTAACCTGCATCTAACGTACTCATTCCAACAGCACACAAAAACTTCCCCAGCGTACCAGCCACAGCACACAAGTGAGTATCAAGGTAATAAAAATTGCTAAATATTTTTTGTGTTTAAATAATAATTCAATCAATTTAAAAACACATTTATTCTTTATTTACAATATTTTCATGATTCAAAATTGTTTTTATTTTATTTTAATTTTTTCCCCATAAACTAATATGACTGAATTCTCATGCTATAGTAAAATTTTTTAAATAAAATTTCTTTATACCATAAGCGTCATGACATTTTTTCAAATTAGTTTCAGAGCCTTCTTCACTGGACGAATTGTCTCAAGAATCAATGTTAATGTGTTCTATGCGAGGCGAGGGCGTATGAGGACAGGATGGGGACGATTTGGATTCGTCCCACCAATAAAACCTTTGTGATGTTGAACTTCGTAATACAAAAACTAGCTAATTAAAATTTGAGTTATAGATTTCTATAACTGATTTTAAAATTCATCGAATGAATCGTTGAGTTTCAATGTTAACAAAACGCTGCAATATTTATCCTTTGTGAAAGTCACGATGTAAATACACAATATTTATACAAAAAACAAATGTAAATAATTATTTAATATAATAACAAAAGCACAGCTATTAATACCTTAACTTCTTGGTGGATAATTATTCATTGATTTTATAATATTTAACTCAAAATACAAAAAGGAAGTGTAAAGCGGACGTTAAACAAAACCATTTCTTAAAAGTAACGATGGAGTCTGCTGAATTCTACTGTGTATTGCTAGTCTTTTTTTTATATTGTTTATGTACAATTATTGGTTAATTTGATCGTTAAACAGAAAAGTAGATGAAAGATATTTTTGCTCAATATCTCTAAACTAGCTGTTAAAGTAGAGTTTAGGTAAGTAAATATCATAAAAGCAATACATTGTAAAAAGAAGACAGAATAGTTATTCACAGCTTTTATTGATGATGGCTAAAAGGGAAAAAAATATCTAGAGTCTTGATGAATAGATCATTTGTGTATATAATTCATATGTGTAAATTTGTATATATTATTGTATAAGGAATGAAATGTTATCCTTTAAAAAATAGTTGTTTGTGTAAATCCAGTGTATACATGTGCAATAAAATTGTTATTAAGTTTATTAATTAGTTATTTAAATTCTTTGCTTCCATTTTACAATAATTCATTAATTTTATTAATTATAAACTAAGGAGCTAGGAAAAGTGCAAAAAGCTATAACCAAACCACTGAGGTTCAGTAAGACCGACTGCAGGGCAAGAACCTGTAACTGTGAAACAAGAGCAAACATAACCTCATTCTCAGAATGGGTTCACAAAAGATAAATTGATGAACTGTGGAGTTGGATTACAAAATAATCACCAAAACTGGCAAACACAATGCCGACAGGGTAAAAACCAGGGTAGTGAAAGGGCTACCAGTCACAGGGTGATAACACCTACAACGATGACCACATTGTAGGTTATGTAATGAGGTCAGAACTGCCACACATATTATCTTCGAAAGTGAAGCAATTGCTCAATCGAGACCTAACCTAAGCTAAGGTATCAAGAAGATCCAGGAAAAAAGAACTGCAGCATTGACAGTCGATGACCATCTACTTCTTAAAATAAGAATTGACTCGATGGAACTGCACTAAGGAACAAGGAAAAGTGCAAAAACAGTAAAACCGAACCACTCAAGGTTCTGCATGACGAACTGTAGGTAGGACTAGAAACTAAAACTGTGAAACAAAAGTAAACATAACCTACTCCTTCTCAGAAAGGACAAAAGATAAATTGATGAACTGTGGTGTTGCCAGACATATTAAACTCATGATTAAAAAATCCACACCAAAACTGGCAAACACAATGCTAGTTCGATAGGGTAAAAACCAGGGGAGTGATAGAGCAACAGGTAACGGGCATCTGAGATAACATCACAACAAGAGTATCTTCAACGATGACTTCATTGTAGGTTATGTAATGAAGAGGTCAAAACTGCCACGCATATTATCTTCGAAAGTGAAGCAATTGCTCATTGGAGACATAACCTAGGGTATCAATAAGGCCCAGGGGAAAAGAACTGTAGCATTGACAGTCAATGAACTACTTAAAAAGACTGATTCAATCGACTGGGTCTAAGGAACGAGAAAAAGTGCAAAGAGCTACAACCAAACCACTGAGGTTCAGTAAGACCAACTGTAGGGCTAGAAACTATAACTGTGAAACAAGAGCAAACATAACCTCATCTTTCTGAGAATGGGTCCACAAAAGATAAAATGATGAACTGTGGAGTTCAGATACTACATGATTACAAAATAATGACCAAAACTGGCAAACGCAATGCTAGTTCAACAGGGTAAAAACCAGAGTAGTGATAGCGCTACCAGTCACAGGGTGATAACACCTACAATGATGACCACATTATAGGTTATGTAATGAGGAGATTAAAACTACCACGCATATTATCTTCGAAATTGAAGCAATCGCTCATTGGAGACATAACTTAGGGTATCAATAAGTCACAGGGAAAAAGAACTGTAGCATTGACAGTCAATGAACTACTTTTTAAAAAGACCTGGTCTAAGGAACGAGGAAAAGTGCAAAAAGCTATAACCAAACCATTGAGGTTCACTAAGACCAACTGTAGGGCTAGAAACTATAACTGTGAAACAAGAGCAAACATAACCTCATCCTTCTCAGAATGGGTCCACAAAAGATAAATTGATGAACTGGGGAGTTGTCAGATACTACATGATTACGAAATAATCACCAAAACTGGCAAACGCAATGCTAGTTCAACAGGGTAAAAACCAGGGTAGTGATAGCGCTACCAGCCACAGGGTGATAACACCTACAATGATGACCACATTATAGGTTATGTAATGAGGAGATTAAAACTACCACTCATATTATCTTTGAAATTGAAGAAATCGCTCGTTGGAGACATAACTTAGGGTATCAATAAGTCACAGGGAATAAGAACTGTAGCATTGACAGTCAATGAACTACTTTTTAAAAAGACCTGGTCTAAGGAACGAGGACTGTGCAAAAAGCTACAACCAAACCACTGAGGTTCAGTAAGACCAACTGTAGGGCTAGAAACTATAACTGTGAAACAAGAGCAAACATAACCTCATCCTTCTCAGAATGGGTCCACAAAAGATAAATTGATGAACTGGGGAGTTGTCAGATACTACATGATTACGAAATAATCACCAAAACTGGCAAACACAATGCTAGTTCGACAGGGTAAAAACCAGAGTAGTGAGAGGGCTACCAGTCACAGGGTGATAACACCTACAATGATTACCACATTGTAGGTTATGTAATGAGGAGGACAAAAGTGCCTCGCATATTATCTTCAAAAGTGAAGCAATCACTCGTTGGAGACATAACCTAGGGTATCAATTAGGCCCAGGGAAAGAGAACTGCAGCATTGACAGTCAATGAACTACTTAAAAAGACTGACTCAATCGACCGGGTCTAAGGAACGAGGAAAAGTGCAAAGAGCTACAACCAAACCACTGGGGTTCAGTAAGACCAACTGTAGGGCTAGAAACTATTACTGTGAAACAAGAGCAAACATAACCTCATCTAGACTAAGGATCTAGGAAAAGTGCAAAAATGCATGACCAACTGTAGGCCTAGAAACTACTACTGTGAAACAAGAGCAAACATAACCTCATCTAGACTAAGGATCTAGGAAAAGTGCAAAAATGCATGACCAACTGTAGGCCTAGAAACTACTACTGTGAAACAAGAGCAAACATAACCTCATCTAGACTAAGGATCTAGGAAAAGTGCAAAAATGCATGACCAACTGTAGGCCTAGAAACTACTACTGTGAAACAAGAGCAAACATAACCTCATCTAGACTAAGGATCTAGGAAAAGTGCAAAAATGCATGACCAACTGTAGGCCTAGAAACTATAACTGTGAAACAAAAGCACACATAACCTCCTCCTTCTCAGAATGAGTCCTCAAAAATGATAAAACTTTGAGGTGCCAGACATAGTAAACTCTTGGTTAAAGAAGTTCGAGTAGGCCATTGATCTGAACTAATGAACTAGGAAAAGTGCATAGTCAAATAGTTGAATGTTTGGGTAACATTCTCTTCCTCCTCGTCATCATCAACAGATCGATTTTTCATTCTTATTATTCTTTCATTATTATTCTTATCGTTCTTTTACAAACGTATTCTTGAGTTTGTTTTATTAAAGCAATAAGTTTTAAAGGTTAAATTTTTGTAAAATACAAGGCCAATTAAGAAAAACAACAGAATCTAAAGAAATATTTGTTTATTTATTTTTTTGACACATAAATAATATAGCATTACAATAAAATTGATTGTTACTTGTACTCTAAAGATGGTCCATTACAAAATATAATTTATAAAATAAAGTTTTACAAATAGAAACACCAATAAAAAAAGAAAATCTTAAATGCAAAAATATATTAACTGCCATTACTTATTGATGAAAAAATGTATAATTTTAAAAAAGATTAAAAAGATTACAATACCAAAAAAGGGGGTTAAAATTTTTACGTTTTAATTAGTTTCTCACTAAGTTTGTTAAAGTGCTTTATATCTCAATTTAAACTAAAAAAAATCTAAATAATAAACTAGAATTCGAAGTTATATTTACAACAATAATATTAATTTTAAAAATTTTACTTAATTACATTTACAGACAAAATATAACCTTAAACATACAGTATTGGAGTGTCTTATACTCACTCTATGGCAAAATTTCCTTCGCGATTCTCTTTTCCACCTTGTAATTTTCAGTCTTTACCTTAATAACCTTCATTTCTTCCCCCATAAAAAACTATATCTTTTAAAAATATTTTGAATACAAACAGAAGTACACAAATATATTAAATATAAATGTGTAAAAGTCGGTCTTTCGTTATTATTTGTCTCATCATAAAATTGACAACATTTAATATGTTTCATCATCTATATTCTGCCAATTTACGATTTTTTTTGCAATATTTACAAAGTTTATTTTGTTAAATAATTTTCTTTGTAGTTGGATTTTTTTTTTGTGCATAAAGTTATGTACAAGTTTGTTACTAGGTACGGTTAGCTATTTACAAAATCTTTGCGTTTCCTTCTTCAAAGAACCAGTTATTTCTTTAAGGATTTGATATAAAAGCAGAGTCAATTGTTCTGTACAATTATACATTTTTGACTAGGAAATATAATTTTTGTCACATTAAAAAGTAGGCCAAAAAAGCGGATAAAAAGCAAATAATTTTTTGAAATATTGATGCTATAAAAAATAAAACAGACTTTATATTTTATTAATAATAATAAAATAATAAAACAAGAATAAAACTTATGTATAACATATATACAATGAAATATCAGTCAGTTTACTTCTTTTGTCACAGTTTCACCGAGAGGTGACCTGACACCCGGTGAGGTGGAGAAGATTCGTTTGACGTCACCGAACTTGATGTGTTCCAGTCGGAAACGATACCGGATTCTGCGGACGAGCATTGGGACGAAGACATCTGCCTCGTACCTTCCACGCCTTCTCGGCTGCTCGCCGTGCTACTGCTGATGCTAGCACTGCTGCTGCTGCTGCTTCCAGCATCGCTGCTGCTCGTCACGGAAATAATTGAATGAGGACGTCCGGTCCTTTGATTTTGCTCTTGAGGCGAGACGGCTATCGAGTTTCTGAATCTCGGGGCCGCTGTACAACAAACAAATCAGTCAACTACAAAAACGCCTAAAAATAAACCACACTTACTCTTGCTTAGTTGAGCAATACTAATCGACCTGTCGCTAATCTGATTAGCACTTGGCCTAATATCCAAGCAGGGTTTGTTGCCAATTCCCATAGAGTTCATCTCAGCCATCCTCATTTCTGATTATAAAAATATTTTAAATTTTAATCAAGTTTTAAGATTTATTTAAATTTTTCATTTAATTTACCTCGATTTCTTAAAGCCTGTTTCCATAACAAGTTTGACAGTTCTTCAGTCCATGCTTGTTTTATCTCCTCAGAAATTGACTGCAGTGTAAAAGTATCATTTGGCTTTCTCTTTCTAAACCAAATTTCAAATTTTGTATTTGAATCTCCGACTTTTGCGGTTAGGCCAATGTCGCTTGTTTTTATGCTGTGTTTGTATATGTATATATCAAGATTCTGTAAAGAAAAATGAGTAAATGTACATTTTACATAAGGCAATTTTTACATTATAGTCGAATCATTCAGTACCTTGTGGTCTGGAAACCGTCTCGCTTTACTGAATAATATCAGTTCTTCAAAAAGGAAAACGTGTCTGTAATATTTTTTACTACCTTTTCCTTGCCAGACTAGAAATTCATTTTGCCTCAATAACCTTCCTTGTTCTTTCACGTTGACCTAATAAAATCGCAATTTTAGACAAAAAGTTTTATTTTTTGCGCGTTTTAACGTATTATGTATTTTATTTACATCGCAGTCTTTCAGTGAATCCATTGCGAGAAGGTCATTTCCGTGTCTAAGTTGGAATCTGACCATCGTCTCCGCTTCTTTCAGTTCTGCGGCTTCTTGCCTCGAAGCCTTCATCAGCTGCTGAAGAAGAAGAGCGTACTTTCCCATTCTCTGTACTGGTTTCAGTAGGTAACTTGCTAAGTCCATTTTGTCCCCGAGTTCCATTTGTTTTGCCTAAAATAAAAGAATTTTTAGTCTCTCAAAAACAAAAATGAATGAAATGAGATGATGATTATTAGACACGACTTACTTTAAAAAATTGTGTTCCATATTCAGACATTAAAGCATCTGACTTTGGTTTATTTTTATTGTAAAGAGCATATAAGTAAAACTTCTTTTCCTGTAAATAACAAAAATATAGTTTATCTACAATAAAATACAATAAGTTATCATGTTTGAGGATGTGTCAGCCTTTGATGATAATTTTTTGAACGTTAAGAGCATAGTGTATTAAAACTATACCCAACACTAACCTCAAACCTATAGTAACTAACCTCAAAAGTATAGTAAGTTATGTTCAACTTAATCCTGAGAAATCAATTACTTACATGTCTTAAGAAGCATTGCCCAACTTGAGCTGGACTGTGTTCACATTTTTCCAGTTCCTGAAGAAAGTGTTGACTATGAAACTCATAAATCTTTTCAACATTTCCGAATATGACATTTCGTTGTCCTCTTAGTGCCTGTGGTATATCTTCCCTCACTAATTCTGGTATGTAATTCTAAAAAAAAAAAAAATTAGATTGAACCAATTACTGAAATTTGTTACTTCTAATAACTACGCACCTCAATGACGTACTCCAGTGACCTGACATAGTCACGTTCAGTTTGAATCATTTCTTTCATGATTAACAACATGGTCTTTTTGGTTTTTAAAGTTTGAGCACCACATTGTCCGTCTACATCGACGGACAGATCAGAATGAAGATGACTGTTGACTGGAATCGGGCTGATATTTTTATTGCAACAAGCTTCACTGTCTTCTATATCGTCGCAACTGGGGAAAAGAATTTATGATGTAAACAAATCGTAATTGTTTCGAGGTCGTTAGTTATTATACCTTTTGTTGCCTTGATCGCTTCCTTCGGTGCGATTGTCTGCTGAAAGCTTGTCCTCGTCTTCTTCTTCGTCGTCGAATCCGTCGGCAGAATACTGCCAGGTGTTCGACCTTTGTATACCCGCTCGTCCGACAATCCTTCCTTCTTCCGGTATATGTCCCAAGCGTTGGTTTTGCTGATGGCCGGGAACGTGGCAAACGTGAGACGACCACTCGGCGGATCTGCCGCAAGGCAGAGATCTCCTCCTGGGCGAACCTGGCCATCTGTTTGTAAAGCTGTCCTCTTCCGAATCAAGCAGATCTCTTATCTGTTCTACCGTCTCTTGACATCTACATTGCGCCAGCTAGGAATAAAATATATCAATAAAAATATGATCAGTGAATGGAAAAGAACAAGTTTTTTTTTACATACTTTGCACTGTTGTAACAATTTATCATTATCAAGTTTTGTTGCAAGCGCTATCATTTCTGTGAAATGATCCTCTGTCGGTGCCGGATGGGCCATAAGATATAACCTCAACTGTTTTAGACTAGTTTCTGGATTCTGCATGTCTTCAGTCGGTTTTATCCGTGACATGTACTTCATCGCTTCCAATGCCCATTCGTATGCCTATAAAAATACATTATGAAAAAAAAGTTTGTTACTAAAATATTGTATTTTAGGCATTAATGTGATCTTTAAGACTTAATGAAATAAAAATGGTCGACATAAAAACATTAAACATGATGCTTACAAAAAACTCGAAATAATTTGAAAATCGACAAACTTATATATCATACAGTTTTATAAACACCGAGGCTGGATTCTTTGTATGAAAATACAATGTGTTAAGTTTTACAAGTGATGAAAACTGTTTTGGAGTTAGACTCACCCTGTCCAAGAGGCAGAAACACCTGGATGTGTCCTCAAGGCGTTCCCTGGTGTCTTCCAGGCGGTCACTGAATCCTCTAAGGTGGTTTTTCAAGGTGCGAGCCAAATCCCTCAAACCATGAGAACCTGGGCTCGAACATTGAACCGCCTCTTCCAATAGGTCGCTACCTTTCTCCAAATGTCTCTGTAAAATAAGAAAAAAATAACGTTATTAGAAAATAATTTCAATGATAGAATTTTTTTGTTTAAATAAATTAAAAGCATACTTTCTTCATAAATCTTTTTAAAAATTTTGATGCCTCCGGTGACATTTTTTTCTTTTAAAATCCTACTGTCTTCTAATCCCCGAAAGGTCCACGTAAATCCTTAACTGAGGGGCAGCTAACAATCGACGAAAATAATCAAAAGCTTATCTTGATGTTTTGTTTATTTTCAAGCGACTTTTTATTTGATAAATACTTCAATTTTGACTCACCGAATCAAAACACAGACTTGTAACTGACATCTCTACAGAACAAAAAGGATTTCTTGGCGTTTAACATTTATTTAAATAATAATAATGATCCTAGTCGGGCGTATATGGAGATAGGAAAAGATAATATTTGATTTAGATATTGACTTTATGAGAGAAAAAAATTGTTTACGGGAAAACACCATTGTATATAAATAGAAACTATTTTGTATTTGAAATTTCATCATCTTAATTGTGTCTGTCAACTGTGATGATGATGAAATGCCAAAACGCAGACCAGATCTCAAATTCATTACTTGCCGACAAACAGTGAAATCTTACAGTTTTATATTTTTTAACCCTTTTTATTATCCTTCCTAGAAAACATTAAGCAACAAAATTTGCTTTTATTTTACAAAAACTTTTAATTTGAATGACTCAAACTCAGCGTAGAAAAAAACAAAAAACCTTGATATCGTCTCTTCAAATTAAAAATGTGATTACATTTATTTTACATTATGAAAGAGCCAAGTATTAACATAAACATATTTTTTTAAATTAGCAATTTTTAGTTATTCTGGCCTTGCCCAGGGGTCGTAAACAATGTTATTTATGATCTTTTTTCCCCAGGGGTTTATTAAAATTGTACGCATATTTATTAAGAATGTTGCAACATTATAATCAATACTGTGATAAAACAATCACAAAAAGAACCACATAGAAATAAACCAAATAAATGTCTTGGTAAAGATTTATGTATCTTCTGTTTATCCCAGTTTACAACTATCCACTCAAAAAAATAAAAGATTAACTGAAATATATTATTTGTTTGACGTCAGTTTCTTTAAATAAAGTTAAAACAGAAAGACCAGAAGTAAATGTAAAGCATTTAGAATTAAATCACCCAGCTTTTCGGATCCGTTTGGCTTTGTTTGCTTAAAAAGGATCTTAATGATTCAGGGGCTGTTTGAAATGGCAGGCATCCTTTCTGCCCTATGATTAATGATTTAATGATTCAACTTGTTGCTGTGTAATGATGGCGAATTCAGCACACATTCCTCTCTTTATCTTGAAAACCCCACATCATCAAGAGTACAATTTGGCCATTGAAAATGGTTTTTATGAAATAAAATGGGTTTTATCATTTAAAGTGTTTTAGAGCGGTTGCTATAAAATGTCCAAGTACAAATCGGAACATCCTTCTTCCGTACCCATACTGCCAAAGCGGGTGTACCGCAAGGCAGCACACTCGGTCCCATTTTGTTTTCAATGTACTGACATTCATATCAATCCCGAATATTCCAATCAAAATACACACCTCCAGGACTATCTTCCTGTTTGGAAGAGTGAGCCAAGAAATGGAGGATTATACTTGACGAAAACAAATCCCAGAAAATAACCTACATCATTACCGAACTAACGATTTATAAAATATTATTATAATTAGTTAATTTTTGAAATTGCACAAGTTCTAATAATAAAACCTAGTTGCCTAATAGCTTTATTATGCATGAAATCTATGAATAGAAAAGAATTGAAATTTAACATTTATTTACATTAATTTTTAAGTCTTATCAGCACACCACAGTAAAATGAGTTAAATTTTCTTGAAGTGCATGTCATTAATAGATTAATTTGGCCGATAGATGTTTATATAATCTGTGAGGAGTAATAAATTCACATAGGAAAAAAAATCCGCAATATCATTTACATAAACGACAAAAAAATAAAGGACCGAGGTGAGACCCTTGAGGTATACCACTTGTTTAGAGTATGAATTGTTATGGATACTGATAAGTATATCTATTTGTTAAATAGTTGTGAATCTATGACAAAATAGGTTGACCTATTCCATGTTACCTTAACTACATCAAAAGTCTTGAAGACTGGGTCGTCAGAGTGAACTGCTAAGTTAGTTTAAATGGAACACCCCTTTGGTAACACCATACTGTTGAAAAGATGATGTTTTTGAAGAATGGGGGAAAATGATATCTGGGCCAACAGTATATTTAAATTCTAAATTTAGTTTTTTTTAGTTTTTCAAGGACAACACTTTCAGATTAGAGAGTATTGAAAAGTCTTATAGTCAGAATTACTATTTAATTTAGGAGGATCAAAAGGAAGATGGAGTGAATACACCAGAAAACAAATCAGCAACAAGATTATATATATATCAATGGTTGAATTAGCTGTTTTATTTCTCAAAATGCATATCACTAAGATATCCATTATCATTTTGCCTTAAATAATCCGTTTAGTTACAAAAACTGCATAGGTCATGTTGTCGGGAACTGGTTTCATATAAATTGGTTCCTTCAGTGTCCCCTTCAGAAATGCTGCTTTTACATCAAGCTGATGAAGTGCTATAGTGAAAAAACTAATAGTGCTCGAGGTGTCACCATCCGAGCTACTGGTGCAACCAGTTCTTGAAGAAAACCACGTGCTTTCTTAATTGGGACATTGGATATGGTCTTTTCAGTAAAAACCCACTTTGAATCAATTAGTTTTACACCTTGAGGTTTAGGTACATTTCCCATGAGTTTTTTAATGATTCTGTAGCTCAGGGTGCTCAAACGGTCGATCGCGAGTGCTTTTTGAGTAGATCTAGAGAAGAAAAAAATTTTTAATAAGTAGGTAGGTAACTAAACTACAAAAATAACACTGCTTGCGGCAAAAGGTGGCTTTATCAAAGGAACGCGCGGCACTTGTCAAAGAAAAGCCGCGTTGTTTCTAGACTAGTAGACAGTACAGTCTAGTCTAGAAACAACGAGGTGATGACACTCAGATTTTGAAAAACGAAAAATGGCTGACTGATTTGGCATTTTTGACTGACATCACAATGCACTTAAACACCGTTAACTTGGAGCTTCAAGGTAAAGGAAAAACTATTATTGAGATGATTAGCGCAGTAAACGCATTCAAAAGTAAATTGCAACTTATGATAGATCAACTGAAAAGAAAGGATCTGAAACATTTTCCGTCTTTAAAAGCAAGGATTCCTCAGTTGAATTATGATACGTATGAGGCTGAATTATCAAATATTTTGGGACAATTCGAAATGCGTTTTTATGATTGCAGTAAATTGGAAAATATAGCATCATTTATGAGTTCTCCTTTTTCATGTAAAAACATTGAGGAATTAGCTACTGAAATAGCAAGTCAGTTTAATATGAACTCATGTTCTGTTGAAAATGAGTTGGTGCAGATTATATCAGATATACATCTCAAAGCTACAGCATCTGATACAAATTTCTGGTGTTTTATATCTGAAGATAAATATCCGAATGTAAGGCAAATCGCCCTTCAACTGACGGCATTTTTTGGGTCAACTTACTTGTGCGAGTCTGCATTTTCTGAAATGAAGATAATTAAGTCAAAATATCGCAATCGACTAACTGACGACCATATGTCATCATGCTTGCGATTAGCACTCAGTGGTTACGTACCATCTTATGAAAAGTATGCTGAGGACATGCAGTGCCACGCTTCAACATCCAAAGCCACTCCTTAGTTAAGTTTAACACCATATGTAACTCTTTTGTTTTGTAACAACCAATAAACTCGCAATTTTGAATAACTATGAGTTTTTTCATTGATATTGTAGAGAAGAACCTAACTAAACCTAACCCAAACCTTGACTAAAATAATGTACCTATATTGTGCAGAAAGCTAATATCTATATATGCTACGGTACACCCTACCTAGGTAGGTAGGGTGTACGTGTATGTACGACAACCCTGCATCACACACACTTGCAGCCTCTCAGAGTCGATCGTAAGTAGTCTAAAAATATTGAGGTAGATCGCCAGCAGTTCAAGTTTGAGCACCCCTGCTGTAGCTCCTCAGTAATGGCTTCATCCCATCCATCACCTGAGTTGATTGCTTCATTGTAAGTAGTAGTCACCTCAGAAGGTAAATGCCCCGCAGTCAATGCCATCATTAATTCTACTTCAAAATCATCTACTTTTAAGTAATCTCTTTACTCTTGAAGATTATTTTTGTCTTTTATTAGTCTGATCCTCTTCTTCAGCTTCTTTTTCTGGTGTAAGTTGATCTTCTTCTGGTATAGGGTGAAGGTTCTGCAGAAACTGGTACTTTATCTTCTTCAGTATTAATGATAGGTCGATTTTGCGATTCATCAAATCATTTTACAGAACAAGCAGTAATGACTTTGCGCTCATCAGGATCCCATAATCGATAACCATTTGCTGTGTATACAATCATTATAAGCTGTTTACCTTTTTAATAATTTTCTATCTCGATCCTCCTTGTGTATATGTGCAAAAGCCAGACTTCCAAATGCTCTAATTTTTTCTAGGTTGACTGGCCTATTGAAACAAACTTCAGCTGGTATCTTCCCATTTGCTTTTGTAAAAAGTCTGTCAATTGTATATATTGACGTCCCCATAATTCCCATAATTTCCCATAGCTTCTCCCCATAATTCCTTATTTTAGCCATATCTAGTATTGTGCGATTCATGCGTTCGCATATTCCATTTTGTTCTGGATTACGTGGTATGTTGTATTGCGACTTCTACGTTACAGCGATGAGCGCCGTGTCAACCCTAAACCGTTCTGGCCACCAACGCCCCACTCTTTGAAAATTAAGCCCGATTCTTAAGCATATTGGCTTTTTTAAAAATAAAATAAAAAATTGGGCGTTATCACAGATATCACATGTTCTATCATAATTTCGTACCAATTTCATGTATCAATCGAGACCTCAAACTTCG